ATCTCCTTCCACTAAATGAGTAGTAAATATATTTTCTCTTCCTTGTGATTTTCTTAATAACATTTCCTTTAGGTTACTTTATTGCAAGAATATAGTATATCATACATATATAAAATATGTGTTAATCGACTGTTATCAGTAAAGCTTCTGGTCAACAGTAGGCTATTAGTAGTTAAGTTTTGGGGAGTCAAAGTCAAGATTTTCCACTGTGGAAGGGCATTGGTGCCCCAACTCCCACGACAACCATCCATCTCTGTGCATGTCTTTTGTGTGTGTGTGTGACTATGTTTGAGCATTTCTTTAAACTATACCCGAAAGTAAAATTGCTGTAGGATAGGCACCTCTTAACTTTACCAGAAATTCCCAAATTTTTCTCCAGGGTAGTTGTTCTAGTTTACATGCCTACCAGCAGTGTATGTGAGTTCTTATTTTTCTATATCCTGGCCAACACTTGGTGTTATCTGCCTTTAAATATTTGCCATTCTGGTGTGTATGAAATAGTATCTCATTGAATTTAATTTGTACTTTCTTGGCTGTTTAGTGAAGTTAATGTATTTCTTCTTAATTTTCTATCATAGCACCCTATTTCTTTCTTTCATAGCACTTATCACAAGCCATTATTTTGAGTTGGTGTGTTTATGTGTTTATTGTCTGCCTCCCTATCTAGAACATAACCTCTGTTAAGACTGGGGTCACGTCTCTCTGGTTTACTGCTTTCTCCCCAGAGCTCAGTGCAGGGGATAAAACTGAATGGTCTGGCATGTAACAGGTGTTCACTAAATAGATGTTGAACGATTGAAGCAAAGGGGTGGGTCTCTCAATAAATAAGTCTAACATTACTATAAGAGAAACATCTGTACAGTAATAGGGTACTCCTCCTATCCAAACCTTATACTTTATTCCATACCTAGTTGATAGTACTTGATTCTGATCTTCATTTCTTCCCTTTTTCCAGCCTTTGAATAAGCTTGAATGGGAGGTAGTAGTAATAGATGATAACAGAAATACTGAGTCACACATTATTTGATTTGATAGCAATGTCTATCTGCTGGGCCTGTGATTTGAGAGACACTGATGTCCAGTTAGCCTAAGATTGTCTCCTGGGTCCCACACCAAAGAAGAAACTAAAACTCTGATGAGGTTCATTATCAGGTAGGAAATCAAGTTGGAAGCCCTTTGCCTGTGTTGGGATTCTTGTCGACAGAGAGTTGATCTTGTCTTATCTAACGTAAGACTTGATGAGATAGGTACGGACTTCATCAGAAATTCCCTAGGCTAGGTGTGGTAATTTTTTATTTTTGAGAAATATAAAAGTTGAAGAGGACTAGGATAAATCTCAGTTAACTTTTCTACAGTCCCTTTCTTTTCTCCTCCACTGCTCTTAGTGCTGCAGCCACTCCCAGCAGCTCTGATTGCATCCTGTTTCAGCTTATTCTGTTCCTGAGCTCTACTCTGACTATGTCTAAACTTTACTCATTGCCTTGGCTAGGATCCTTTGGGGTGTAGGGAACAAACCACCCAATATAGCTTAAACCCCAGGCAAACCAGGGATGTCTCAGAACTTAAGAGCACACACAGCTAGAACCAGGAATTAGAGTAGTGGAAATGTCTACTAAAAGCTCCAAGCTTCTGTTTTCAAGAAAAGAACCAAGCTTAGGATGGACTCTTTTAGTACCAATTACAGATTGCTGGGGAGGGATAAGCGAGATGCCTACCTGACTCCAATAAGCTGTGGCTGTAAGTTATATTCTACAGACATGGTGGCCAAGAGCTACTGCTGGCTGTCAGGAAAGAAGAGAAATCCGAGGCAGAGACATTCATAGGTGTCTACTGAAATTATCGGTAGCTGAACATGTGTTTATGAGCTCTGAAGCCTCTGACTTTTACCCAGCAACTTCTTCATGTCTCTGCTTCCTTAACTTTTCTTCCCTCAAGTCTTAACTGACTGCTTAACCCACCTTACTGATCTCCTTTCCTTAGCCAGTTGCAAATGTATTTTCAAGAGATCCCTGACTTCCTGGACTCTTAAGTGAGCTTTGGGGATGACAAGGTGTGCTTTTCTCCCTATCTA